CAGCCATGAGCATGGTATATTCTTCCTTTTGTTGATATCTTCTGCTATTTCTTTACTTAAGGTTTCATAATTTTGTTTATAGAGGTCCTTAACCTATTTTGTGAGGTATATTCCTAGGTATTTCATTTTCTTTAAAGCTACTGTGAAGGGGATTATGTCCTTAATTAGCCTCTCATCCTGTCTGTTATAGGCATATACAAAGGCTGCTGACTTGTGGACATTGATTTTATATCCTGAGACATTGCTGTATTTTTTGATCACTTCCAGGAGTCTTGTGGTTGAGTCATTGGGGTTCTCTTAAGTATAAGATCATATCATCAGCAAAGAGGAAGAGCTTGACCTCCTCTGTTCCCATTTGGATGTCCTTTATTTCCTGCTCTTGCCTGATTGTGTTGGCTAGAACTTCCAGCACTGTTGAATAGTAGCAGCAATAGAGGACAAGCTTGTCTGGTTACAGTTCTAAGTGGAAAAACTGTCAGTTTTACTCCATTTAGTAAAATATTCACTGTGGGTTTGTTGTAGATGGCTTCAATCAGTTTAAGAAATGTGTCACCTATGTCTATACTCTTCAGTGATCTAATTAGAAAAGGATGCTGGATTTTATCAAATACTTTTTCTGCATCTATTGATAGGATTATATAGTCTTTGTTTTTGCTTCTGTTGATATGGTGAATTACATTTATGGAATTGTATATGTTAAACCAGCCTTGTATCCCTGGGATGAAACCTAATTTATCATGATGTATGACTTTTTTGATGGTAAGCTGTAATCTATTGGCTAGGATTTTGTTGAGAATTTTTGCATCTATATTCATTAGTGAAATTGGTCTGTATTTCTCCTTTTTAGTTGAGTCTTTTCCAGGTTTTGGTATCAGGGTGATGTTTGCTTCTTAGAATGTTTTCAGGGAAAGATTCCTTCCTCCTCAATTTTTTGGAGTAATTTCTTCTTTGAAGGTTTGATAGAATTCTGCTGTGAAGCCATCTGGAGCAGGGCATTCTTTTGTTGGGAGATGTTATTGTATTTTTTACCTCAGTACTTGAAATTAGTCTGTTCAGGAGATCTAGTTCTTCCTGGCTAAGTCCAGGAGGAAGGGTTGATCCATTTTGATCCATTTTATTCACATTGTCAAATTTCTGAGCAGAGAGTTTCTCGTAGTATTCAGAAATAATCTCTTGTATCTCTGTGGCATCTGTTGTTATTTCCCCTTTATCATTTTGGACTAATGTTACTAGAGATTTTACTTTTCTATTTCTAGTCTGGCAAAAGTTTTATCTATTTTATTTATTTTTTTCAAAAAAACAACTTTTTGTTTCATTAATTTTCTGAATGATTCTTTTGTTTCCAGTTTAATTTATTTCTGATTTAATTTTTGCTGTTTCTTTTGTTCTGCTTGGTTTAGGCTTAGATTGTTCTTCTTTTTCCAATTCCATAAGAAGGTTTGTGAGTTTGTTGATCTCTCTTTCTGTTTTTTGGATGTGGGCATCTAAACTGATAAATTTTCCTATCAGGACTACTTTTGTTGTATCCCACAGGTTTTGGTGTATTGTGTCTCCATTATTGCTTTGCTCAAGGAAGTAAATGTTTTCCTTTTATCCCTTATTAAACCAAACTATGATTCAGCATAAAGTTATTTAATTTCCATGCTTTTGTGTGGGGTTGAATGTTTTGTTGGAGTTCAGTTCCATCTTTATTGCCTTGTTGTCTGATACAAGGTAAAATTTCAATACATTTGATTTTGTTGAAGTTTGATTTGTGTCCTAGGATATGATGGATTTTGGAGAATGTCCCATGGGCTGATGAGAAAAATACATATTCTTTAACTTTGGGATGGAGTATTCTATATATGTCTATCAAGCACAGTTGTTCTAGGGTCACATTTAAGTCCCTTGTATCTATTTAGTTTCTGTTCAGAGGATCTGTCCAGCTCTGTGAGAGGAGGAGTGTTAAAGTCCCTTGCTATTATGGTGTCATATGATGACCTATTGTTCAGACTAATTAAGGTCTGTTTCAAGGATCTAGGAGTATTTAAGTTGGGTGCATAAATATTTAGAATTGAAATGTCTTCTTATTGTATTGGTCCCTTGACCAATATGACATATCCATGTTTGTCTTTTTTGACTTTAAGTTGCTTTAAATCCACTTATATCTGAAAATAAGATTGCAACCCCTCTTTTCTTTTGATTTCCATTTGCTTTATGGAAAACTTGTCTTCCATACCTTAACCCTGAGTTTTAATTTGTCTTTTGAGATAAGTGTGTTTCCTGCAGACAGCAAATAGATGCCTATTTTTTTTTTTTTAAATCCAGTCAGCCAGCCTGTGCCTCTTCCATGGGTAATTCAAGCCATCAACATTTATTGAGATAATTGATAAGTGTGGTGAAGTTCTAGTCATCTTATTTTTTTAAAGTCCACTGCTTAGTTTTGTCCTTTGCATCATAGTGGAAGGTAGGTTTTGTTCTTTAGTTTCTGGGTGTTTACTTTGCTGCTGGTTCATTGTGATGGTTACTGTGTAGAATAGGTCTAACTATTGCCTATAGAACTTGTTTTATTGTGGCAAGCTTCCTCAATGTTTGCATGTCAGTATATGATTTGATTCCTCTGTCAATTTTAAAGCTTAGCTTAGCAAGATATAGAATTCTGAGCTGAAAATTGGTTTGTTTAAGTAGACTAAATGTAAACAACCATTGTTTCATTGAAATTTTCATCCACAGTCACATTCATGGATTTGCCCCTTGAGGTCAATTGGCACTTACTTCTGGCAACTTGCAGAATCTTCTCTTTTGTCTTGACTTTGGACAGGTTCATCACAATGTGTCTTGAAGAAGCTTGATTTGAGTAGAGATAACCTCGGGTCCAATATCTCTTTGAAGGGAGTGTGTCAGAATCTTTGGTGATATTTGGGAAATTTTCATTTATGATATCCTCTAGTAGGGCTTCCATGCATCCGGGGTGTTCTTCTTCCCCTTCTGGGATACCTATAAAACATATGTTTGAATGCTTCATGACATCCCATGATTCTGTCAGTGAACATTCTGCTTATTATTCTTTTTTTCTGTTTCTTTAACTGCCTGATCCAGCTCAAGAGCTTTGTTATCTACCTCTGACATTCTTTCTTCTGCATGATGTATTCTATTATTGATACTTTCTACTGCATCTTTAAGTTCCCTGATACAGTTCCACTATATCTTTTCTATTTTCTTCATATCATTCATCTCTTATTTAATTCTGTTTTTGGATTTCCTTTTGGTTATATTCCACTTTCTCAGAAATTTCCTTCATTGCTTTTACCATCTATATTTTAAATCTCCCTTCTGTCATTTGTAACATTTCTTCATAGGTGGAATCTTCTGCAGTAGCTACCTCATGATCCCTTGGGAGTTTTTGATGTTGCCAGGATTTTTCTCCTGTTTCTTCCTCATGAGTGTTTTCATTTTGTCTGTTTCTTTGTCCTAATTTTTCCTTTCATTGCCTTTGACAGGAAAGTTACCTTGCCTCTGACATAAGGTGTTGAAGTGTCCTTTCGGTAAAGGATTAAAAGGATGAGAAGAGTAAGAGCACAAAAGGGTAAAAGATGAGAGAGAGAGAGAGAGAGAGGATGAAGAAGAAGAAGAAGAGGAGGAGGAAGAAGAAAAGTGAAAGGAAAGGTGGGGGTGAGTAAAAGTGAAGATTGAGAAGAAGAAGAGATGAAGAGAAAAAGAGAGAGAGGAGTAATAGTGGTGTACATTAGTATACTTTGACCCTCACCCACAAGTCCCAACTTCTGGGGGCAGGGCTGGGTTGGTGGAGTCTCCTGATGTCTGTAGCTCTTTGCCAGCCTGAGCTGATGTAGGACATTACCTCCACCAAATAGAGAAGGAAATAAAAAATACTGTAAATCAAACCAAAACAAACAAAAAAGCTTAAGACATAAAATTAGGAGAAAAAACAAGTATCAGGGATAGAAAAATGAGGAAAAATGAAGTTCTTATTATTAAAGAAAGCAACAATGAGAAATATATTTACATAAAAACCATGACTATAAAAGGAAAAAGAAAACTCTGGGGAAATTTTTGAAAAAGAAAAAAAATTTTTTGAAAAGAAAAAACAAACAAAACCCAACAATAACAACAAATTCAACAACAATAATAAAAACAAAAACTATATATAAATATCTTGCTGAATATTGCCTGGGTGACAGGTGATCTTCTGGGATATGAGGTGCTAATTACAATACAATAGGGCTGAGCCTGCAAGACAACTTTTCCACAATGGCTGTGCACAGTCTGCAGCTGAACAATGAAACTTCCATTCTGTCCTGGCAGATCAGTCCTGGCCTCTGGACACTGTTCAAAGTCACTTGCACACTTGCTCGAGGTCTCCCAGAACCAGCCTCACTCTAGGACTCTGAGAGATGAACCTGCAAGGCTAATCTACCACAATGGCTATGTGCATCCTGCAGCCAAACAATGAAAACTCCGCTCTATCCCAGCAGCTGGGTCCTGATTTCTGGGCTCTGTTTAAAGCACTTGCTCACTCTCCTAGGGTCTTTAAAGGTAACTCTACCTAGTCCTCAAGTCCAAAAAACCCCACAGGGAAGGCTTTACCTGTCTGCACATGTTCACTGCTGCTCAGATGCTGCCACCTGCAGCTACTACAGTTGGTGGCCTCAAACCAAATGCAAACACTTGCTTTTTTTCCACTGCTTTTGTCCTCCTTCTGTGATCCCCAAGTCTCCCACTACCTCCCTACAACCCTGAAGGAATGTTCCTGGGCAAAGCCAACAATCCAGAGGTGCCTGGAGTCTTCTCTCCCCTATTTCACCATGCCCAGTTTCAAAAAAGCTGTTTCTCACCCATCATCTTGCTCCACCCCTGATTCTTTAATTTTTTTTTTTTTTTTGGCAGTTTTTGGCTAGGGCTAGGTTTCAACCTACCACCTCCAATATATGGGGCCAGCACCCTACTCCTTTGAGTCACCAGTGCCACTCAATTCTTTAAATTTTTGTTATGATTGAAACTCATTATATACTTGCATCTCTCTTTTGACAAAAAATTTTCATTTAATTAAGATCTTATTCCACACTTACATTTATACCTTTATTTTACTTTTTGTATAGTTGTTTGCTTCCTGTTTGGATACTTTTTTTCTGTGCTTATGTTAACACACAAATGTACATATAATATTTTCTTATTTTCTTCAGAGTTTCAGAAATATTTTTACTGATCAAGATTTACAACTTAGGAACAACAATCCCATCTTTATTCTGAACTATTCATTCAAATGATAGAAAAATGTATATAGATATAGGAACTGGAAAACAAAGTGTATTTCAGGGCATTAAAATCTTGAAAAATTTGTGACAGATGGAAAGTAAACTGGGATTGAATTGTAGGAAGAAGAATAGAGAAATCAAAGAAAACTATGGCCCAAGTTAACAAATACAGGGTGGAACCCAGGGCCAACAAAAAAAAAAGGCAGAGAATGAATCTTCTGAGAGCACTGACGACAAATAGTTGTATACCGATAAAAAAATAAAAGCAAAATTTAAAATGAATTTTTTACACTTGATGCAAGAAAAGTTAACATGGCACAGAAATGTTAAAAATAACATAGTAGCTGGGGGTGGAACAGAGCTTTCTTTATTTGTCTGTAAGCCACAGGCAGCCATTGTGGGAGAGTTGCTTTGTGGACTCAGCCCTCAGGTTCCTAAAGTGAGGCCAGTTCTGGTGCACCTGATAAGCGGGCAGCCACTTTGGGAGAGATCCAAGCAACACACCTAGCCTGGGAAAGCTACTACTTAGCCCGGGGACATGGTTCGGAAAGGTCAAGGGTTGCATATTAAGTGGGCTGAGGAGAAACCCAGGCTCCCAACCAGGTGGGGTTTGAGAGCACAGAAGTCAGCAGGGACTTCCTGTCTCAATCTTTTATAGCTGTTTTAGGATTAACATCTTATATCCCAGAACATCACCTGCTGCCAAGAAATATTCAGCAAGATATATATACACAAAGTTTTTTGGATTTTCTTTCTTTCATTTTTTTGAATAAAAGATGTATTTTTTAAGCCATCCAGCATACTGTTTCAGGTTCATCTTATCCAGAAACATAAAAGATGTTTTTGCAGTATTGTCTTATTCTTTAATCTTTTTTTCTTATTAAGTCATATACACATAGGTCATGAGTACATTTATGCCTTTGTGGGATTCAGTTTGTTGATTATTTGTACAAATTGGAGTGCTTACACCCTACTAATTAGCATAGCTTTCACCTCATTTACTTAATCACAAAGTTGAGACTTTTATACTCTATACTTGATAGATTTGACTTGTACCCTTGCAATATGCTCCATTGGTGAGATCCCACCATTAACCCTCCCTCTATCAGGCCACCACCCTCCCATCCCTATGCCCTCCCCTTCCCTCCTTCGTCCTGGGCTATAGTTGTGACTCATCTTTCCTATGAAAGTGTGAGTGATTATAAATTGGTTTCATAGTAGTACTGAGTACATTGGGTATTTTTTTCCAATCCTGAAATACTTTACTAAGAAGAATATTTTCCAGCTCCATCCATGTAAACATAAAAGAGGGAAAGTCTCCAACTATTTTTTAATGCTACGTAGCATTCCATAGTATACATATACTACAATTTATTAATCCATTCATGGGTCAATGGACACTTGGGCTATTTCCATGACTTGGCAATTATGAATTGAGCTGCAATGAACAATCTGGTGCATATATATTCGTTGCCAAGTGATTTTGGGCCTTTTGGATATACACCTAGTAGAGGAATTGCAGGATCAAACGGCAGGTCTACTTTTAGATCCCTGAGTGTTCTCCAAACTTCTTTCCAAAAGGAACATATTAGCTTGCCTTCCCACCAGCAGTGTAGAAGTATTCCCTTTTCTCCACATCCACACCAACATCTGTATTTTTTGGATTTTGTGATGTGGGCTACTCTTACTGGAGTCAGATGATATCTCAAAGTGGTTTTGGTTTGCATTTCTCTGATGATTAAAGATGATGAGGATTTTTTTCTTTGTTTTTTTTTTTTTTTTTTTATTGAACAGTAACTATGTACACTAATGCACTTCTGGGGTGCATTGTGGAGTTTTCACATACAATTTGCAACATTTCCCTCAAACTGGTTAACATAGCCTTCATGTCATTTTCTTATTGTGTTAAAACATTCATATTCTATTCTTAGAAAGATTCACTTGTACCCTTGTAAGATAAACCACAGAAGTGATCCTTCCAATCCCCCTCCCTCCACCCATTCTCCCCTCCCCTCCCCTCTCCCCATATTCTTAGGCTGTTATTAGGTTATAGCTTTCATATAAAAGGTATAAATTAATTTCATAATAGGGGTGTGTACATTGGATACTTTTTCTTCCATTCACTTTGCTAAGAAGAACATTTTCCAGCTCCATTCATGTGAACATGAAGGACATAAAGTTTCCATCTTTCTTTATGACTGCATAGTATTCCATGGTGTACATATACCACAGTTTGTTGATCCATTCATGGATCAGTGGGCACTTGGGCTTCTTTCATGATCTGGCAATTATGATATGGGTTGCATTAAACATTCTGATACAAATATCTTTGTTGTAATGTGATTTTTTAGTTGTCTGGGAATATACCTAATAAAGGAATCGCAAGGTCAAACAGTAGGTCTATTTTTAGTTCTCTAAGTGTTCTCCAGATGTCTTTCCAAAAGGAACGTATTAGTTTACATTCCCACCAGCAGTGTAGAAGTGTTCTCTTTTTTCCACAGATAATGAGGATTTTTTCATGTGTCTGTAGACTGTGTGCCTGTGTTCTTCAGAGAAGCTTCTGTTCATGTCTCTTGCCCACATTAAATGGGGTCACTTGTTCTTTTCTTATTAATAAGTTTGAGTTCTCAGTGGATTCTGATTATTAGACCCATTTGTTAAATAGAGAGTCTTTCCCCCAATTTATGTTTTTGATAGACTTATCAAAGATCAAATGATGATCAGTATCTGGGTTCATCTCTTGGCTTCAATTCTGTTCCATACATCTACCTCTCTATTTTTGTGCCAGTACCATGTTGTTTTGATCACTATAGATTTATAGTAAAATCTGAAGTCTGGTAGCATGATTCCTCCTGATTTGTTTTTATTTCTAAACTATGTCTTGGCTATTTGAGGTTTTTTTTTTCCCATATAAAATTAAGTACTAATTTTTCCAGATCTTTAAAGTATGACAGAGGTGCTTTAATAGGAATTGCACTAAATCTGTAGATTGCTTTGGGTAGTATGGACATTTTAACAATCTTGATTCTTCTCAGCCATGAGCATGGTATATTTTTCCATTTGGTCACATCTTCAGCTATTTCTTTTCTCAGAATTTCATAGTTCTGTTTATAGAGATTTTTCACATCCTTTGTTAGGTACACTCCCAGATATTTTATCTTCTTTGGCACTATTGTAAAGGGAATAGTGTCTTTGATTGTTTTTTCACCTTGACTATTGTTGGTATATAGAAAGGCTACAAATTTGTGAGTATTGATTTTGTATCCTGAGATGCTGCTCTATTCCTTGATCACTTCTAGGAGTTTTGTAGTTGAGTCCCTGGGATTTTCCAGATATATAATCATGTCACCTGCAAAGAGTGATGGTTTGATCTCCTCTGATCCTATTTGGATATCCTTTATTGCCTTCTCTTGCTTGATTGAGATGGCTAAGACTTCCATTACAATGTTAAAAAGCAGTGGAGACAACGGGCAACCTTGCCTGGTTCCTGATCTGAGTGGAAATGTTTTCAATTTTACTCTATTCAATATAATATTGGCTGTGGGTTTGCTGTAGATGGCCTCCATCAATTTAAGAAATGTTCCTTCTATACCTTTTTTTTTTTTTTTTTTTTTTTTGCCGTTTTTGGCCAGGATCGGGTTTGAACTCACCACCTTCAGTATGTGGGGCCGGTGCCCCACTCCTTGAGTCACAGGTGCCACCTATACCTATTTTCTTAAGCATTCTGATCAGGAAAGGATGCTGGATATTATCAAAAGTTTTTTCTGCGTCAATTGAGAGAACCGTATGGTCTTTGTTTTTTATTTTGTTGATGTAATATATTATGTTTATAGATTTATGTATATTGAATCATCCTTGGGACCCTGGGATGAAACCCACCTGGTTATGATATCTAATTTGTTTGATGTGTTGCTGGATTTTGTTTGCTAGGATCTTATTGAATACTTTTGCATCAATATTCTTTAGAAATATTGGTCTATAATTTTCTTTTCTTGTTAGGTCTTTTCCTGGTTTGGGTACCAGGGTGAAATTTGCTTCATAGAATGTGTTGGGAAGTATTCCTTCTTTTTCTATGTTTTTAATATAGGTTCCTCTTTAAAGGTTTGGTAGAATTCTGATGTGAAGCCATCTGTTTTTGAGCTTTTCTTTTTGGGGAGATTTCTTATAGTTGATGGTATTTCAGAACTTGATATAGGCTTATTCAAGATTTCCACTTCTTTCTGACTAAGTCTAGGAAGGTGGCGTGTTTCTAAGTATTGGTTTTTTCCTTCAGATTTTCATATTTCTGAGAATACAGGTTTTGTAATATTAATTAAGGAATTTTTGAATTTCTGGAGTCTGTTGTTATTTGGCCTTTATCATACCTGATTGATGAAATTAGAGATTTTACTCTTTTATTTCTGTTTAGGTTAGCCAAAGTTCTATCTATTTTATTGACCTTTTCAAAAAACTGACTTTTTGATTCATTGATCTATTATATAATTTTTTTGTTTTGAATTTCATTTAATTATTCTCTAATTTTGGTTATTTCTTTTCCTCTGTTGTCTTTCAGATTGAAATGTTCTTCCTTATCCAGTCACTTGAGATGTCCCATTAAGTTCTTGACTTCCTCTCTTTCTGTTCTTGTGAGGAAGGCTTGCCATGCTATAAATTTCCATCTTAGGACTGCCTTTGCAGTATCCCAGAGGTTCTGGTAATTTGTGTCTTCATTATTGTTTTGTTACAAAAATCTTCTAATTTCTTTCTTAATCTTCTCTACGACCCGG